TCATAACTGTTATCATAACAAAGATCTGATTGATCAGACTGATCGCTGTTCTGTTCATTGAGTTTGTTATACATGTATTCGGTGATGGCAAAATCTTGGTTACAAAATGAATAAACCTTTGGCAAGTATTGGTGGGAAAACAAATTGTTTTAATGGTTTACAGGGGCAACCCATGCGTTGGCACACGTTTGTTGGGTTTTTGTAGGTTATAATTAAAAGTTTTCGTAAGCAATGTCAGTTCTTTCAAGTTTGTTGAATCAAAAGATAAAGCAGTTTTAAAAGAGAAAATGATGACAACTAAATGTCATTTTACACAACATTCAGAAGAAACCGAAGCGAGCCGATTTGTAGTTGTTTGCGGTGACGCTGTCATGTCATGCCTCACAGACGGAAATTTACTCAGGCTTGTAAATATTCAAAGTCTAATTACCAGCTGTAAATTCTGTGTGCATCGCTTGTGAAAACCAAGCTTTAGCTTGCTCGTGTTTGTCGATTGACAAGCTTCACAGCTATTATTACATGTAAACAATCTTCCATGATAAAAATTAGTCACTATTGTTTTTCACCGAAGTATTACCGCGTCTTTTGTGCCACAGGATCTGCTAAAGTATGGTTGCACTTGTCTTTACGTCGGCTTCACTTTTTGACCACTGTGGTGGATGCAAGGTCAGACCACGTAGCAAAGACGAGGCTCTACCGCATCCTATTGGGTCAATACTTTCAGGTGGTACTGTAGTCTTGAGAATGTCTGTCTTACAGAGAGTTCATCGACAGAGTATACATGCAATTACTACAGTTTGGTTCATTTGATAACAATGTTGCTTTTCTTTGTCTAAATTTCAGGCAACGCTACTGGCAGTTTGAGGTGTCACGTGACTTCCCAGGATGCAAGCTCTTCCATCCACCTGATGTGGGAAATGACAGCTCAACCTGTCTTTTCTATTTTTCCATTTGTACTCCTGTTCCTGACTTTTGCCCTGAAAATTCTGGAATTTGTCTGGCCAACAAGATCGATTATAGACCCAAGTACAATAAAACTCTGTACACAAAGCCGATTAAGATTGGGAGCTTCAAAGAAGGCAACAACCACTTCAGAGCAGGTTTGATTGAACTACAACATAACTTAACTTAGTGTTCAGTGTCTCCATGTGCCTGGTACTTGTACATGTATTTGAGGACTTGTGTTAATTGAACACTGATGGATTATTGACTGGTCACTGATGTGGCAGCTTAGTGCAGTAAGGTTGCAATTATCATACCATAGGTAACAGAAAACAAGAGACCATTTTTCGCCACACCTCCAAACAAACAAGAAGAGAGTTGAGAATATGCCATGCAGTTGAATATTGTTGATAAGCTTTGAGGTGTTTGGAAATGTGGTTAAAGTACTGTCTCAAGTGTTTGATAAAAATCAGAAAAAAATTGAGACATACAAATTATTATTAATAATAAAGTTTCTATATAATGTGAGCTCTGATTGGCTGAAACAGCTCGCTTTATCACAGTGCAGATACATGGTTAGCTGAATTTCAAATTTTTCTGTCAGAATTTTGACAAATTTGACTCAAATTTAACATCCCTTGCGACTCAAGCAAAGGCAGTGGAAATGAGCGATTTGTCTGTAACAACAGTAGTGTAAGTTACAGCAGTTATCAATCACATGCGACCTTCAGCACAAAAGCGTCTACACAAAACCTAGGTTTTGGTGGACATCAGTCATCTCCGCCTCCTTGCTGACTGTATGCAAAATTTACAAAAACAAAACCTTGCAGCTGTCCACTTGTAAAAATTATCATTTTACTTTCAGTATGCACAGCTAGCTCACTAAATACATCGCATTAAATATTCCTTGAAATCTATAAATGAAGATGGGCAGGTCGGGTTTCTCAACGGCCATTCGCATGCATGAATGACCCCGAGAGCAAACAAATCTACATGCAAACAAATTATTTCTGCATGTATTTGTCTTGGGGCTACAGACTGAACAAGACTCGAACGTCTCATAAACCTGATAATTTTGTAAGGTAATAAGTTATAAGTTTTATAGGGTTAAGTATTGTTCAGTCCGTAGCCCCAAGAAAAATACTTGCAGAAATACTTTGTTTGCGTGTAGATCTGCTTGCTCTCAGGTCATTCATGCATGCGAATGGCCATTGAAAAACCCAGCAAATGTCCTCATTTATACATGTAGATTTCAAGGAATATTTAATGCCAATGTATTTAGTGAGCTAGTCGCACATACCAAAAGTAAAATGATAATTTTTACAAGTGGACCACTGCAAGTTTTCACTCTTTCAGGTAAATTTTGCATACAGTTGGCAAGGAGATGGAGATGATTGACGTCCACCAAACTTAGGTTCTGTCAAGACGTTTTTGCGCTGAAGGTTGCATGTTATTGATAATCATGTAGTTTTGCTACATATAGATTCCGAAACCGTAATCATGTAAGGAAATAAACAAATTGTCAACCTAGCGAATACTTTGAATCCATAACAGACATTATAGTTGTAATAAAGGCAGAAATTATACTTTAGATGTAAAACAGTAACAGAAAATACAAATTAAGCTGTCTCTGTTTCAGTTTATGATAAGAAGCTCAAACAACACTTAACTTNATGATCAATCATGTCTTCATATTCTCCGCAGTTCAAATATATAATCTTTCATATATTCACTTGCATCCAGTACTTAGTTTGAGTGATTTTGGAAAACAAAAATCCTGCCGATGTGTACAGTTACTCAAGCGAAGCGACAGTTAATTTGACCCGGCTGTAAATAGGGATGAATAAAAATTTAAATTTTGGTTGTTTTGCTAACCTTGGTATCATCTTTGGTTAAACTAGCAACTCAATTTATTTTAGCAGATAATTACAATCCCTTGGGCCCAGTGATTTGTTGATCTAAACACCCTGGAAAGATTGATGACGATATATGCAAATGTTTCCTAATTTTGGAATTAGTTGTGGCAAAGAGACACCTCAATTTTCCGCGGTTGCTTCCCAAATAAATTTGCGCTTGATTCACATATTACAAAATGTAATGGAAGACTTCCATTTTCATCAATTTCACTCTTTGCTTTTCGTCATTATCAAAATAAAGAAACGAAATAAGGAAAGCACCGATTTGGATCGTTCAGGCTTGAGTGATTCAACAGCCACTAGTGCAGTCGTGTCGGCCCGGCACATTGGTTTGTGAAAATAGTTTTTTCACATTATAAACATCCCAAACTCATGTACATCTGCTTTCCACAGTTTCTGTGGTTGAAGATCTCACTCGTGATTGGTTATAACACAATAAACATTCCAGACATATTTTAGGTGTTCATGGTTTTGTGAGTTTGACTGTAACCCTCTGGGTGCAGAGTAAACTATTGAAATGGTTTAACAAGCTGTTGACAACTTCTGAAAGTGCAAACACGAATTAACACCGAAATTGACCTCTCACTCAGAAAAAGCCTGGATGATCACAATATGTGGCATTTCTGTGAAAGTCTGCACAAAAGTGAACAACAACAGAGTAAAATTTAAAGCTGTCTTGATTTACGGTTGTTAGAAGTTATTTTTCTGCCTTGAATGAAAATACACGTGTGCGCTCATATGCAATGTTAAGATTATTTATTATATGGCTAATTCCGTGAGCGGGCAAGATGAATCAAATCCTGCGTTGTGATTGGCTACCCGAGCGGGCAAGATGGAGCTATCTTGCCCGCTCGGAACTACCCGCTGTGTCCCACAAGAAAAATTTCCCCGAAAGCCATATAATAAATTCATTATTGACCAAGCCTGTTCGGTCAAGATGGCTTGATGTTGGCCTCGTTCTTTTTTTGCAAGTTTATGGACCTCGACTACGTCTCGGTCCATGACCACGCAAAAAAAGAACTTGGCCAATATCCAGCCATCTTGACCTCACACTTGGTCAATAATCCATACGTCTTAGTCAGCATTTCTACCCATTCATATTCTGCAAGGGGAAAAGTTTAGTGCTGCAATGATACACCAATGCACCGATATTTTTGTCACGATACGAGTATCGATATTACGACAAGGTATTGCAATATTATGATATTGTGATTCTTCATGAATAAAAAAATTCAACATTCAGAAATAACTGTCTTTTATGACTCCTTACCCAGGTCTAAGCCCTTTCTGGGCAATTTATTAAACAAAGGGACCTGGGAAAGGGAAAAAAAGTTCCATCTTTGCTTTGTATTGCTTTGTGTGCTTCCAGTCGCATATCTTTCAAGATGGCGATGCAAAAGCATGCGCAGTTCCAATTAGTTGTCAGCTGACACAGTCTTGTGTGCCCTCGGACAAAACACATGGTTCATCCATTTATGGTTTGTTATAAATGGAAATAATGATTTCAAAACAGTCAAGTAAGAATAAGATTACATCACCGGTCAGTTGTATGTAATGATGTATTCTATCGTGTATCGTATTGTGACACTTGTATCAAGATATGTAGTGCATCATGAGAAATTGTATCGTTGCAGCCCTAGAAAGGCTCAAGCTGACTACCAAACTCTGTATAAACTGGGAGGAAGCAGGGGTGGGACCCGTGTGACTACTGCGTGTCAGTGCTGAACATTACACTCTGTACTATGTAAGATTGTCTCACCAGGTTATTGATGTTGCCCCTGCCTCAGTGTTGTGGTTGTGTAGACTTGCTGTTATAAGCATGTTTACTGACATTGTTTAGTTTGAAGCAGTTGATGATTTCCTTAGTAAAATGACAAATGGCAGAATACCCCTCCCCTTTACTCTGAAAATTTGTGCTCTGTGCATGAGTACAAGTTTTAAAATCCTTTGCACTACAAAATGTTTCTGCATCTCATTTCAATGTGCATGCAGGGAGGTGGTTGTTAAATGAACATGGTGCAGTTAGGTGTTTACAGAGACTTCAGTATACATGGTACAGTTGATATGAGTAAAGCGATTCTGTCTCCCATTCAGTATCTTATAGACCTTGAATATAAGGGTGCCTGTCCACCAGGTGGCAGTGGAAGTTCTGAAGAACCCTCAAAACCTCTAAGTGTTGGATCAATCTTGCTTATTTTGTAAGTCAGCTTGCCAGTCTGTATGTATGTACATCAGTGCAAACCCAATATTTGTGACATGATGTTCTCAGATCATATGTACTGTATTAAATATCTGCATGTACAATGAATGCACTTTGTGGAATTACCCATTTCTAAATGGTGACTTCTTTTTCATGTAATATATCAAACATTAGAGATAGCATTTCAACACATTTCCAAACACTGAGAAATACTAATTATGCAACACTTTCAAGTGGTATACCACAGAACATCCCACAAGTCACCTGTATTTTCTTGGTATACACACAAGTCTTTAAAACTATTTTATACCATGCCATAGAAAATACAGTGACCAACGCAATCAATGAAGTGCATGATGGGAAGGTTGAGTGTAATACTGTCAAATATAAAAGGTACAGCTAGTGTAGCAAACTCAAGGTGTTTGGGAATGTTGACGAAACGCTTGTCTACCTCAAGTTACAGATCTCTCTTCTCAATCAAAACAGTAACTAAGGAGTAAGAGGAGAAATTTTTGTTCTGATTGTATTTTAAAGATACATTTTCAATTTTCCGGAAAATCATTTCTGGATGTAACATAAAAACTATTTTTATGTCCTAATTGTTCGTTTCAGGTATTACAATCCTCTGTTAAAATATGTAAAGAAATAGTGAGAAAGGCAGTATTTAGGCAAGATTTTACTGTTAAGCAATAGAGCTCGTTTTCCTTGTTTACATAGCCTCATCTAAACACAAGGAGGGTTGGGAGAATTCGAGACAGTTTGCAAGCCCAAGACGTAGCTGGGGGTTTGCATAACTTTTGAGAATTCTCCCAACCCTCCGAGTGTTTAGATGAGGCTATGTAAACACGGAAAAAGTGCTCTGTTGCTTTTATAAAATAATCCTCAAAAATGCACGAGAATCTAAAARGTCACACCGTGTTTACATACTCTTATCGAAACGCACCTATTGACAATGTGAGTGTGCGCACAGTGGCTCAGTTATTTTACAATACCCTTTTGTTGTTCTGCATCTTTTCCTTGTGTGGCAAAATTTTGAATTAAGAGCTTATTTTAAAATGTAGGTGTGGTGGCCTAATTGTTAGCATACTGGATTCCGGATTGTGTTGTCTGAATTTGAGCCCTGGCCAGGGTCATTGTGTTGTGTTCTTGGGCAAGAGAATTAAATCTCACAGTGCCTCTCTCCACCCAGGTTTTTAAATGCTGGGGAGTAAACATGAGATGGACAAGCATCTTATCCAGGGGGAGTAGAAATAATTCTAGTTGCTTCATGCTACAGAGACTGGGATACACTCTGGCTGAATGGGTCACTGTCTTGAAGCAGGCTCAACCATATTTTTTGTTTGAAAATGTGCAATTATTTTTGCACACATGTATCCATATAGGGGATTTACAGGTTTTATAGGATTAATTAATTGTAACATACTACAACTGATCTACTGTCTGGTCACTAGCAAAAATTATTATTAATCAGCAATAATTTATTAAGATTAAAGATCATGTATCCTGTGGAAATGTATATCATCCCCTTTGAGATGTATACTCAGAATTTTTAAATTTTCCATGTTTGCAGATTCTTTCCTGGACTATTTTTGTATTGTGTGGTTGGAGCACTGATTAACAGAGGAGCTGGAAAAACGGGCAAGGAGATGATACCTAATTCCAAGTTCTGGATGGAGCTCCCAGGGTTAATTTCGGTAAGGTTGCCTACTTGGTGTTGTTTTATCTGCAGCCTTGTCAGTGTTTGAAGCAGCTACTGTATGAATGAACTTGTCACATGGTATAATGGTTTATAATCAATGGGGTTTTGTCAAGTGCTGCCAGCACAATATTATGTTACAGTTTCAACTCCCCTATAAGTGATATCCTCTTTTCCAGCCATGTGTCGTATGTGGGTTTAGTTTGTTGTTGGTTCTAGCCTCGCCCTGAGGGTTTTCTCTGGGAACTCCAGTTTTCGTCCTTGAAAAAAAACCCAGCATATTCCAAATTCTAATCCAACCTGGATAATGGATGCACATGAAAACCAGTTAGGGCTTCTGTGGCTTCCTCTCTAAATAGTGTGATATTTCAACTGCCTACTTAACAATTAGATTATGAGCTTGAGATTTATATCGTGCATTGAACTTGAGAGCAAATAATCTAATTGTTTTAATGGTATAAATGTACTAGTCATTCAAAACTTTACCTGAAGTCTCTCCACAGAGACTTCAAAAACACAAAGAAGTGGCCACAATTTTTTGAACACCTGCACACTGCTAGGCTACTCACTATATGTGTCTACAACAGAATGGATAACGAGTAGCATAGCTAAGAACGGAATGGCATTTGTGATAGAGCCCTAGTAGATTTATACTAAAAGGTCTTTGAATTACAATACCATCTACATAGTAGTGCTTTGCTTGCCTTACAATCATTGCTTTTCATTTTACTTATCTTCTAATAATTTTTCAACATTTCCATTTCAGGATGGCTTTTCATTTGTTGTTGCTAAGATTACATGTTCTGAGATGTCCACATCACGGGAGACTTATGATCGCATGTAATCATGGCTTTGCATATTCTTAGGCAGGTTTAAAATCTAGGATCACTAATTTTGAGTGGGTTTATCTTGATATGCAGTTTAGCGTGGTTTTGTACCTTGAGCAATGTCTTGAACAAAATGATAACAAGGTTTGAGCTGGCTTTTAATGATATGATTGTACAATTTACATGTATGGAACTGAGAGATGTGAGGTGTAAGAGAAGATAGGGTTGGGTAATGAATGGTTTCCCCTCCCTGCTAACCTTCCAGTTTTCAGTCAACCAAGACTGCTTAGTAGAAAGACTAAAGAATGACTGTGCAGCATTAGTCTCAATCTGAAGTAAACTATTAACAAACACCTGCAGAAAAGTGATGCACAAAATTGCAGGTAGTTCATGTTCTCACTGATATTAGTGAAGATATTTCTTCAAATTGAGATTAACTCTGTACAGATCAGCAAGAATTTCATTAAGGGCCAGACACCAGGCAAATTGACCGGTTGTGGGGACAATTTTGCCCAGCTGGATTGACAATGTAGCAGAACGTTTTTCTTACAAAGAAGTTCAGTTCTAATAGTTTTGCTGACCTATGCAAACCAGTTGCCCTTCTGCTGAAAACGTTAATTAAACCCCGGGTGTGTCTTAAGTCGTTTTGTTCAGCAGTCTAGGTTAGCTCAAAAATGGACTTTACTGAACATGGCAAGAAATGCCTTAGGATTAAAAAAACATCCATATGATTCCTGAGTCAGGGTCATAATAATGATGGCGAGGGTAAAACGCACCAATTTGAAAGGATTCCTGGAACTGTCCCAAGTACATCTGTTCTCCATTGTAGATCTCTTATAGGATAGGATGGTTTAGTGTGTAGTAAGCAAAATAAAAACTTGACGATTGCATTTTGACTTACCCTAGAGGCATGCCAAATTAGAACAAGTTCAACGACAAATTCCTTTAAATCTGTAGTGATACATGTAATGCTTGCTAAAATGTCTAACAAGTTGAATTTATTCTCTTTTACTGTATCGATGAGCATGAAGCATCGCTTAGTTCCCGTACAGTGTTTGTCCCAGGTCCTCACGGTCAATTCATCACTGACCTAATCAAGATGAATGGCCAGGAAAGCCTGCTCTTTTTTCATCGGACCATATGACCTGAAATGGATTGACTGCAGCAAAGTATCAAGTCTTAGGAACTAGGCAAAATGAAGCTGTAAATGTTTTTGACATGGGGATAAGCTAAAAATTAATGTGTTATTAATTATAACATATTATTGGCATAAAAAAAAACACTCAAGACCGTGTTTCACCACATTACCAAACACCTCGAAATTCGTCGAAAATACTCCGTATTTTCAACTCTCCAGGGCTGGGTTGTTCGAAAGCCGGTTAACACTATCCCAGGATTAAAAGTTAACCGAAGAATTCATTTTCCTTTATAGCAATGGTTTTTACTGCTAATGTTTCGTGTAGTTAGAGATTGCTCAAGCTCAAAACTGAAGGACAATCAATGTAACCAGAAAACTTCATCGAAACGTCGCAAAACTGAAATCAAAATTCTCGCTAATCCAAGGTTAGCTTAATCGAGCTTTGAACAACCCGGCCCTGGTGTTTAGAAATGTGGTCAAACGCAGTGTTTTGTGTTTGATGTATTACCAGTGTTACGTCAAATGACATTGTAAATCAACTTTGCCCCTTTACTGGCTAAATTTCCAAGCTTTTGGTCCACACCACGATTTCATATTATTTAGCTGTGTTCTCAACACGGAAATTCTTTCTTTTGTGTACTTAGCTAACTGGGTACCAACAAATTTTGTGCGGGTGTTCCAGAGAGGAGATAAAATTGGCTGCGATTGGAAATTTATGATGGTTCTACGCTATCCTGTTGCAGGCTTTCGGATTGTGTTGCACTTGGAATTCTCGACAAAACCTATGAAGTTTGCAATTTCAACAGCAAATACATTTAAGGGTAAAAATCTCACAACCCTTTCTTAGCCTTCAACATCTGAAAGCCCGGAATAGCACCATTTAGAGAAAGCTGTGATAAATATTTAAGAGTAAATAGTCTGATGAATGGTTTGTAATAAAATCTAACTATTACTTTAACTAGTCCTACAAGTGGCTTTCTCGAATGACAATCCCACAAAACGAAGACCCTCATATAATTGCCGAAGAGTACTCTGGATCAAAAGAAGTCTGACACACCCAAAAGCACCCATACGATGGGCTCATTGGCCTCAAATACCTCGACTTTTTTAGACTTAAAGCTTTTGAATTGATCGTAAACATAACCCCTCTCATCTGATATCACTCACAATGTGACCCGCCCAATTCTGATGAAATTTTATGGAAGAAACAAGGTGTGTTATCTTTCCATGCGTGGCTTCTATCTGTCTCAAATTTCTGTAGTCTGCGCCATCTGCTATGGCCCTACCTTCTAAAATCATGAATCCGTCCCTGCTGTCTTTAAAGAATCCATATTCAAGTTTACTTTCTTATCGGCTGCATTCTCTTCCATACAAAAAGCTACAAAAGATGAAATGAAGGCGAGAAATATGGGTTAATATTGACCAAGGGTGAGGTCAAGTTGGCTGGATATTGGCTAAGTTCTTTTTTGCATGTTTATGGACCAAAACGGAGTCGAGGTCTATAAGCACGCAAAAAAGAAACGAGGAGCTACTGACACAGGGAAAGTTTCTTTGGGAACCGGGTTTCAATAAGAACCCCGCACTTCACGCACGGACTCCAGGAGATGTTTTGTGATATCCTACACAACGTCGTACATGACTAGAGCGGAGCCCGCGAACGTTTTCAAGATGGCGACGAAGGAAGTGAAGACTTCCCTGCGAAATGCACGAGAGTGCATCAAAAACAAGGATTATAAGGAAGCTCTTAAACACTGCAAGGTACATTAATTAATTGATTAATTAATTAACTTCTCTTACCTTTGGAGCTTTAGCTTTTTTAACCCACTTTTCACGAAAATTTCCTTTGGTATAAAACAGTCTGAGAGCCTCAGAGATTCTGAGCTTTGTGAAATAAGCAAAACTTCACATTTTCTTCGTTTGCGAAAAATCTGTCTTTCAGACTTTATTTTGCATGAGCTTTTAATCAGGGCCAATTTCTAAGTCCTGACATTTTGAGATATTGTTGTTCGGGTAGATTTTGGAAGAAAACAACTAGTGTCCAGTTTTCCCTCAAGAGAAAGGGAAAAAAAATCTTGAAAAGAGTTTTAAAAAGTTGGGCTCATTCACCCCATCTCAAGACTTTAGCAAGCCACCTTAATTTCTGATATAAATCAGGACAAATAAATATATTTAATCTCTCATCAAGAATCATACATTGTGACCTACATGTAGTAGGCTTACCATTGTAACCATTAAAAAGCGTAATGGACTTTCTTGTTTTAAGGCACATTATATATGCTCAAGTTTGATTTTCAGGACTATTCAATTATGCATGCTCCAAATTATAAGGTTTTTACATTGAGGTCTTGTCACTGCACTTGTAGGCTGTGTTGAAGGCAGATAAAACCAATTACACTGCCTTGGTGTTCTTTGGGAAATGTGCATCAGAGTTGAACCAACCTGACCAGGCTTATATGGCTTACAAGAAAGCAATTGAATCTGACGAGACACAGCTTCTTGCCTGGCAGGTGAGGAAACTCCATAAACTACTTTTATTAGTAATATACATTATTTCACTCATTTAAAGGAGAAGGTCACTCCAAAAAAAAATTATAAACCTTGCACTAAGTTTAGGCACTCACCAAAGTTTCAGCCTCTAAAGTGCAGGTTTTCCTTAAGAAATTTGTCTCCAAAGAAGCCCAAAATTTGACATCATTGCCACCATTTTGAACAGTACTCAGCAGCCAGGCAGCGTTTTTGTGATGTCATTTCCTCCAAGAGATTTTGTTCATGGTTTCTGACAAGCCTTTTAACTACCACGCTATGTTATGGCTGATCTTGAGCCATATTATTTCCAGCCAAATGTGTTCCAAACCCTGAAAATAGTGAAATGGATAGTCAGTTGGAAAAATACATTTTGCTGACCTTGTGAGGGATGCCAAGTCAGTTGCAGATTTTTCTGCTTCCTATCAATTTTGAGTTGGATGGAGTGATCACATACATTTAACCACAGCCTGGCTGCTAAGTACAGTTTCAAAATGGTGGCGTCCAAAGTCAAATTTTGGGCTTCTTTCAAGACGAATTTCTTCAGGATAACAGGTACTTTAGAGGCTGAAACTCTGGTGAGTGGAAAAAGCAAATGTTTACTTGCTATAGGTGGTGATAAAAAGGTAAGCTTTTTGGAGTGACCCTCTCCCATATAAGAAAAAAAGGATAAATTACACTGTAAATTCCAAGGCAGCTTTTAATGTCAACTGTGTCTAGTAACTACGCTTAATTAGTAGAGTGCAAAATAATAGTCCCACAGACTGAAGAGTAGCTGCTAGTGGATGAGTGATAAAAAATTAAAGTTGCTGCCAAAACGTTTCTTTTACCCACCATCTTGTTTGTGGTGCATAGTGACTGCTTAAAAGATAGCTTACTGGCTATCTTGTTTAGATGAGTTACATGTAAATGCGAGCTATGTTTTAACCCTTCTAGCGGGGTAACATGACAAGCCCGGGCACCCTGCTTTCATGTAAACAGGATGTTAATGACAGTACTGGTAGACAGCATGTGTTGAAGTGAGAAAGGTGTACACGATGCTTGTTGTTGGTTCTCACCTTTGTTTGAGGATTTTCATCAGGTTTTTCTCTTCTAGATTNTGTGGTGCATAGTGGCTGCTTAAAAGATAGCTTACTGGCTATCTTGTTTAGATGAGTTACATGTAAATGCAAGCTATGTTTTAACCCTTCTAGCGGGGTAACATGACAAGCCCGGGCACCCTGTTTTCATGTAAACAGGATGTTAATGACAGTACTGGTAGACAGCATGTGTTGAAGTGAGAAAGGTGTACACGATGCTTGTTGTTGGTTCTCACCTTTGTTTGAGGATTTTCATCAGGTTTTTCTCTTCTAGATTCCTGTTTGCCCCGCATAGAGGACCCACTTGAAAACCAGCTAGTGCAAATGCAGCTTCCTCTTGAAATGTCGTTAGTAATTGATTTTTAAATTATTTATTTTTTACTAAGCCCATCATCAAGCACATGCTAAGTGAGGACGACATTCATTGCAGTATGCTGGTACAGTTAGGTACAGGTCATGGTACTCAGTCATGACTTATTAAGTCTGAATGGTACTATAGTTGCAGCCTATTTACTTTGCTTCAATCGCCATACTTTTTCAGGGTCTTGCTGCCCTCTCTGAGAAAGAAGACAACCCTCAATTAAATGCTGAACTTCCTGAAGTTTACACCAAGTTACTGCACATGTATGAGAGGTACAATGTCCATATCTACTGGATGTTTGCTTTTTTATTTCCATGCATTTTATGTGGAAGAAGATGAGATAGGAAGTCAGTTAGTCTAGAGCTCTTTGTTTTGTCTTTCCTTTATCGTTTTATTCCATTAATTAAAGTCAAGCCTTTCACCATGGCTACTTTTGTCTCGCAAATCCAAAATGTTTTTTAGCAACTTAATAGTTAACTAAAGACCATTGTGGATTTGTGAGACAAATTTGAAGAATTCTGATGAGTTTTGGACCTTGATTCTTGACACTGTTTAAGTGTGCAGTCAGAGTAATTTATTTAATTCCAGATACATGTGCAGAAAGTCGACAGAATGTATTCAAGGCATTGCTGCACTGAGCATTATTTCTTGCAACTTGTCTTGTGAATTTGTTGCCACAAAAGTTGCGTGAAAAATTGCCCAGTATAATAGATCCCCATAAATAAACATGCCTCAAAATGTTTTCTTTGCAGTATGTGTTGCATGAAACTTACTTGTGGAATCAGGTTCTACTTTTTGCAGTGATTACTGCAATGAAAACAGTGTGAGACATGATCATTTCTGGGGTGTTACATTAGGCAATGCCATGAGCAACTTTTCATGCATAGGTGCAACAAAACTGATTATTGTAACTGTGCCTTCACTGTACATACAGTAGAACCCTGGTAATTCAAACTTGGATAACTTGAACTCCCCCGTTAACTCGAACTGAGTCTCAATTCCCTTGGATTTGACCCAACTTTTCAGTCATTTTTGCATGGTTAACTTGAACTTGGATAACTTGAAAACACCGCTAACTCGAACTAAATTTTGTTTCCCTGGATCAAAATTTACCCTGCCGATAACTCGAATTTCTGGTTCTTATGACTCACCACGGATGCCCTTTGAGATATTCCATTAGCTTATCTTATCGTGTGGTCGAATTCTAACACTAGGACAAAGACTGGAGCAATTTGATTTTAATTAGTGCAATGAACAGATCACGTATTTGACAGTTTTTTAGTGATCATAAGAGTCATACTGGATGCGGTGTTACAGTTGTTACAAAATGTATCAGTTTCTCGTGAAATAAGTTTAATTTGCACTGTATTGTACACCAAAGTGCTGAAAATCAATAAACTATTAATTATTAACCTGGAAAATTGAATATTTTAATTGACCCCGATAACTCGAAACCCTGCTAACTCGAACAGTTTTTTGTTTCCCTTCAGAGTTCAAGTTACTGGGGTTCTAATGTAATTCTTTTCCAAGATTCTTCCAGTCAAACAGGACTGCCCCATTCAATGCCTAAAATTTGGTCCTAATTGAATCCTCAGGATTTTGGAAGCAATACTTTTTCCACAGTTTCCAAGGAAAATCAAAGTTTTCAACCAAGACATGTTTAAATCCAAAGGTTATTTTTCCCTTCAATAAGAAATGTAAATTCAGGCAATGAATTAATGTGGAACTTTCAAAAGATTCCAGGAGGGAGTTGAACCCATGACCTTCTGTACACTGGTCAAATGATGTATTTGAGCAACAACATGATATTTAACCCTCTGTGTTTACAGTGACAAGGTTAAATGGATGGAAGTTGCCACCAAACTTGCTGAATTTCATGACAATCAAGGTGAATTCATAAAGGTAAGTCATTTAAAATATAAACATTACACCCCTGTATATATGATCCGAAAGTTATACATTCAATTTTGTGCTTTCAGCTGTGCCTCTCAACATTTATTGTAAATCCATTTTCAAAGGCTATTGGAACTGAGCCATGAATGAGTGCATAATGCGAAACATGGGTCACCCATCTTAGTTAATCATGAACTGTGCTTCATTGTTCTTAAAAACACAATTAAGACATGTATTACAATGAGCAAGTTTTTTTCGATGTTCACTCTAAGCATCTCCTTTTGATTCTTACAGTGCACCTACTCCAGCCATGGCCACCCAAGAAAATTCTGTTAAGATTCAACAATGGCATTTACATGTTAAAACAATAGATATGGTTAAAATTAATATTTTTGTCTGATGGTGCACAGCCATGGCATCTTAAGATTGATAACTATTTTTCAGATAACTGTAGCAGTTGGTAATGTCTACAGTTTTCACTCTTTAAATTTACCCAGAATTTTATTGGTGGGCTTGATTGATGTGGGTATCACTGCAGATAATTTGATTTCTGTTTGTTACTTACACAAATGAACAAGTTAATTGAACCCATCCATGTTTATAGTATCTGTGGAAGTTTTGTGTAGCCCAAGTTCAGACTGGACGCGTCAATTGTAATAACAAAATACCTGTTGTCAACTTAGGCAGCAGAAATTTGGGAGGAGATTGCAATTGCCACTGAGAACACTGCAGAACAATTAAAAATCTGGACAGGAATTGTTGGGATTCTTGAAAAGGTTGGTTGATTTGTTCAGCATTATTAAAGTACAACAGATGTCATTGTGTATGGGTTTGACATCTTGTTATATTCTAGCCATTTATTTAATGTCTTTGTGGTCACTAATGGTATTAATCATGAATGTTTTTTCCAGAGACCATTGGAAGAGAGTGGAATTAAGAAAGTAAGTCTAAGAAATATTAATAATACACTAGTTTTAAGTGTTTCAAACACAATAGCAACTTCAAGACCATGACACACCTTTGTTTCAGCACAGGTGATGCATCAGAGCTAGACCAGTCTACTTGGTTATCCATAACCTTTTTCCTGGCCTTCATTGCTTCACAAAGTTACCTTGTACATGTACCAGTATAATATTCCTGTGATTACATTGTGTAGTTCCAGAAAATATCCATACCTTGCCCACAGAAGGGTTTTTTTTTTCTAAGACCCCCCACCACTCTGGAAATTTCAATCCCTTCTGTGGGGGGAGTATGGATATTAATAGCGGAGCTCCGGCGGCCTGAAGGGCCGCCAAGCGGAGCCCCATACTCATATAGGAAAGAAAAGGAAACCCACGAGTTGATTTTCTCATGGTTATCATGGCTAGCGGTATTGCTCGTGGGTGCGTATGCAGGATGACGGCAGAATTGCCCATACTCCAAATAATAGGTTGACAGAGACATGCAGCCTTGGTTTACCGTGTACCTCCTTGATATTGGACATCCATGTTATGATCAATTGACACGTGTCAAAACAAGGTATCCGCTGACCAGTATCACGTGACCATATCGTGGGCTCAAGTTTACAGCTCTTCAAGGTCACGTGTTTTTAAAGTTGACCGCTGACCAAGTGCTGGTTATCGATTAGATCGCGGGCTCATATTAGGTTANGCACAGCCAGGGCATCTTAAGATCGATAACTATTTTTCAGGTAACTGTAGCAGTTGGTAATGTCTACAGTTTTCACTCTTTAAATTTACCCAGAATTTTATTGGTGGGCTTCATTGATGTGGGTATTGCTGCAGATAATTTGATTTCTGTTTGTTACTTACACAAGTGAACAAGATAATTGAACCCATCCATGTTAGTAGTATCTGTGGAAGTTTTGTGTAGCCCAAGCTCAGACTGGATGCATCAATTGTAATAACAACATACCTGTTGTTAACTTAGGCAGCAGAAATTTGGGAGGAGATTGCAATTGCCACTGAGAACACTGCAGAACAATTGAAAATCTGGACAGGAATTGTTGGGATTCTTGAAAAGGTTGGTTGATTTGTTCAGCATTATTAAAGTACAACAGATGTCATTGGGTATGGGTTTGACATCGTGTTATATTCCAGCCATTTATTTAATTTCTTTGTGGTCACTAATGGTATTAACCATGAATGTTTCTTCCAGAGACCATTGGAAGAGAGTGGAATTAAGAAAGTAAGTCTAAGAAATATTAATAATACACTGTAGTTTTAAGTGTTTCAATGGCAATAGCAACTTCAAGACCACGACACACCTTTGTTTCAGACAGGTGATGCATCAGAGCTAGACCAGTCTACTTGGTTATCCATAACTTTTTTCCTGGCCTTCATTGCTTCACAAAGTTACCTTGTAGATGTATAATATTCCTGTGATTACATTGTGTAGTTCAAGAAAATATCCGTACCTAGCCCACAGAAGGGATTTTTTTCTAAGACCCCCCACCACTCTGGAAATTTCAATCCCTTCTGTGGGGGGAGTATGGATATTAATATTCTCTGGAAGAGGAGGGATATTGATTTTTTTTCTGGAACTGCACTTTGTAGAGCAAATTTTAAAATTAGTATACATATCCTTGTTGTAATCTCAAAATGATGACTCTCTTCTTTTCAGTATTTTGCCTGAAAGCACAGCTAAACAAGCTTGTTATTGCTAAACACACTAATCCAGCTTCATTTCTGTGATCTCTTTTAGTTACAGGCAGCATATGAGAAAGTTGTTCATGGTAACCAGTCTCAAGAGCCAAACAAACAGCTTGAGATACACTTTGAAAATTACCTCAGATTTTTAGTGAAACACCAGGTAAATTACAGCATTTATAGACATGTTCACTTAAAACATCTCACTAAGTAAGGAATCGTTTTCCTCTCTATAGGAGAAGACATAAAGTAAGCTCTTTGGGTATTGAGTTTAAACTTACTTAGAAATGGGATTGTTAGTTGTTTTTGTTATAGTGGATCTTTTGTTAAATGTATGTAGTATATGCCTAATTGAAGAAATTTGTCATGAAAAAGGTCTAAACCATAAACAATATGACACAGTGGTTTTCTGGGAAACTTACAATCTAAAACTAATTTGCATTCTTACAGATTGTGTATTTGCATTAAAACCAAGAGATGATGATTATCTCTGGATTAAAACGGATCTCGTGTTCACCAGCTATACTGTTGCAAACTTGAGCTTATCTGAAAGCTCTTAATGTTCAAATTTTCCTTTGTTTTCCACTAACTTAGCTACCTTTTGGGATGGTATGGACAGTTTTTATTGTTTTTTTTTAAACTACCACTTTGGGTAGCTGACCTGTGATCATAAAATGCTACGAGGAAACAATTTTCAATATTCATGATAATGTGCATGCTTTTTCAGTCTTCCCATAATTCTGTAAAGTCGTATAGTTTATGGTTAACTTTATACTTTTGCTCAGACAATGTCTTTTTGCAATCAGGTGTTTACTAAGGTGTATGTAAACTCAATGTTTGTACTTTTTACTCCACTGATAGTTTTTTCATTGACCTTAAAAATGTAGTGTTTTGTGAAAACTGTTGATCCAGATCTCTTCTGATCTTGTGCAGGTTGGTGAAGATGATGAATTGTTCAATGATAAAAGACAGAAGATTTGCAATGAAGCTAAATCTATGATGATGTTGTTTCCTACTTCAACGTTTGCATTAGAATTATTGGGAAAGGATTTTCTTCAGTCTTTGATAACTGCACGTGAGTGTAAATAGTTTACACTTTATGAATTACTGCCAATAATGGTCAATTATTGATCATTACTGGCAATAACTCATAAGATATAGAAAAATAAAATAAAATAATAAAATTAGTTTATTTAGAGAGGAAACCACATCAGCTTAAGCAGCTGGTTTTCATGCTGGTCGTCTATCCTGGTTGAATTGGAATTTGGAGTGTTGGTTTTTGTGGAGGGAGGAAAACCGGAGAACCTGGAGAAAAACCCTCAGAGCAAGGCAAGAAAAAATAACAAACTCAACCCACTTATGGCACCGGGCCAGAATTGAACCTGGGCTATATTGGTGGGAGGAGAGCCCTGTCACCAAAGCACCATCCCAGCTCCCCTAATAGGATGGTGCACTGGAAATGCTCACTTATGCTTATTTTACAAACTAAGGATGATAATTACCAACAGAATTACCTTGTGAATTCTGAACATGGGCCAAAGTAGCCCATATTGGTGTGCACTACAGAGCACAATGCAGTCAAGAGTATTGCCACTCCCCTGGTTAGCCCTGAACAATATTTTGTCAGATTGCCCTCAAGAGTGTCTAGTTCACAGTTTTCGAGTACTAGTTAATACTCCTGGGGTGGACTAGAAAGGAACTGTACATATTAGAGTAAAAGTCATGTCCCACACCATAGTGACAACACAGTGATCTGGATTCTACTTTATTTTATTTGGCCACTCATGTTGTACTCACTTTTTAGTTTGTTGATCCTACTAGATAAAAAAGCACAGAATTAATGATAGCTAAGGAGAGATGTGGCTAATATTTCATTGTGAAAGTCACTAAACAGAAAATGTGAATAATTATCCATTGATTATAAAAATTTACTGTGTACCACACACAAGTTTCATTTTTTTTACTGGCTCCTGTAAATACATGTATATATAATTATAGTAACTCTACGAAGAGAGCTACAGTGTTGGGAACACATTGGCCCTCTTATCTTTATCCATTGAATGAGTGGCTGAAGGTGATGCCATATGGAATCATTGTGGTTTTACTTACAGCTACACCAGAGATGACAGATGTATTTCAGAGGCTGTGTCACATGAAGCCTGGATCTGGGATAGGCATGCTTGGACTAGGAAGTGTTTTGCTTCATCAGAAAGAGTTTTTGATGGCAAGGGCATTGTTACAAAAAGGTATTCAGAGAGTAAAAGCTGTCCGGATTGATGTCAGTCAGTATCCACAGAAAAAGAAAGAATTATCATTATTTTCCATTTTGATAAATAGATTTTTAGCTTATATATTGGGGGAATACTGGACCATCTTTAACCATATCTTACTGGGGTTTCATTAAGGGCCAGGCACCAGGCAAGCTGACCGGCTGTGAGGATGATTTTGCCCAACTTGTTTGACCATCTAGTTTGACCATCTAGTTAAAAGTTTTTTCTAATTAAAAAGTTCAGTTCAATTAGTTTTGCCTGCCTGTGAAAACCAGTTGTCCTCCTGCTGAGAATGTTAATGAAACCCCTGTCTTAGTGTAAAAACTCCTAAAGGTAACAGCAAATGATAATGTATCACAATTTATGAATTTAAAAAGGTAATATTAATATCACACGCATTCCATATCACTCAAAAAAGTATTTTTTTTTNAATTATTTGAACAATTCTAACAAGGATTGTGATTGGCTTATTTTAGCATGCTTTATCAGAGAACAGTGCATGGCTGACGCCACTTTTGCTCATTTGGAAAAATAAGTTTGGTTGGAAAATTCAGCCGAATGCGTGGGGAAATTATCTGATTCTTTATCATAAAACAAATAAAGAAGCCTTGACTGTGCTTTGTTCTGTTGTAAAGCACTTAGGAAGCGATAGAGCACTCAAGAAGTAGGAAAACACTTGACTACATCTCGTGTTTTCCCCTACACTTCTTTCGTGCTCTACCGCTTCCTGCGTGCTTTACAACAGAACAGAGCACAGTTGAGGCTTCTTTATTTGTTAAGTAGTATACACCTAATTGAAGAAATTTGTCGTGAAAAAGGTCTAAACCATAAACGATATGACACAGTGGTTTTCTGGGAAACTTACAAACTAAAACTAATTTGCATTCTTATAGACTGTGTATTTGCATTAAAACCAAGAGATGATGATCATCTCTTGATTAAAAGGGATCTCGTGTTCACCAGCTATACTGTTGCAAACTTGGGCATATCTTAAAGCTTCTAATGTTCAAATTTTCTTTTGTTTTCCACTAACTTAGCTACCTTTTGGGAAGGCATGGACAGTTTCTATTTTTTTTTTAAATTACCACTTTGGGTAGCTGACCTGTGGTCATAAAATGCCATGAGGAAACAATTTTCAATATTCATGATAATGTGCATGCTTTTTCAGTCTTCCCATAATTCTATAAAGTCATATAGTTTATGGTTAACTTTATACTTTTGCTCAGACAATGTCTTTTTGCGATCAGGTGTATACTAAGGTGTATGTAAATTCAATGTTTGTACTTTTTACTCTACTGATAGTTTTTTTTATTGACCCTAAAAATGTAGTGTTTTGTGAAAATTGTTGATCCAGATCTCTTCTGATCGTGTGCAGGTTGGTGAAGATGATGAATTGTTCAATGATGAAAGACAGAAGATTTGTGATGAAGCTAAATCTATGATGAAGTTGTTTCCTACTTCAACGTTTGCATTTGAATTATTGGGAAAGGATTTTCTTCAGTCTTTGATAACTGCACGTGAGTGTAAATAGTTTACATTTTATTAATTACTGCCAGTAATGGTCAATTATTGATCATTACTGGCAGTAATTCATAAGATATAGAAAAATAAAATAAAAAAATAAAATTACTTTATTTAGAGAGGAAACCACATCAGCTTTAGCAGCTGGTTTTCATGCTGGTCATCTCTCCTGATCGAATTGGAATTTGGAGTTTTGGATTTTGTCATCATCATTATCATCATTTCTCTTTGCGCCAGTAGACGCATAAGGCTGTCACGCTTTCCGACCAACACTCCCTGTTCCGTGCCACCGCTTTGGCTACTTCCCAGCTCTTCCACCCCGTCTTGTTTCTTTCCTTCTCCATCGTCCTTCTCCAAGTTGTCTTTGGCCTCCTTCTCGCTCTTCGACCTTCTGGTGTCCATCCAAATGCTGTGAAGCAGTCATTTGCACCCTCTCTCCTGAGTATGTGTCCCAACCAGTTCCACCTTCTCCGTCGTACCTCGCAGCTTATGTCGTTGACCTCTNTGAAAACCAGTTGTCCTCCTGCTGAGAATGTTAATGAAACCCCTGTCTTAGTGTAAAAACTCCTAAAGGTAACAGCAAATGATAATGTATCACAATTTATGAATTTAAAAAGGTAATATTAATATCACACGCATTCCATATCACTCAAAAAAGTATTTTTTTTTAGTGACTTGTCTTTGGCGAGTGGTTTACAAACCCTTCTTGTACCCTTTCCAATATGGTGAGTAGTAAAAAGGAAAACTGCAGTCGAGTGCCTAATTAAAATCAGTGTTGTTTGATTAAAGGTCTACAGGCTTTCAGTGACTGTCCTTTTGGATGGCTGTCATTCTGTCAATCACAGCTCAGTCTTCATGACTATCAAGGAGCTGTAAAAAGTGCAAAGAAAGGTTTGTGTCATAACACAAGTTAGTGTTGTTATAACTAATAATCATAGGCTGAAAGAAGTCACATAATATATTTACAAATTCAGCTTTCTCTGTCATCATTTTTAAAACATCTTGACATGAATAATAGACGTCATTCTTGGAATTTATGGACTTTCTGTCTTCAAGACAAAAATAATGAGATTTTGTTAGCAAAGAATACGTCAAATACAAAAACAAAACCTCTTGTCCCAACTACACTGTAACTGACCAGTTTCCCAGATGGGACAAAATCTTAGTCCTGTGTTCCTTTGAAGAAGTTCATTGTTAGTAATGCTCTTCTTATTTTAACGACTAATTTTCAGGTCTTGACTGTATAAACTCATCCACACCTGATAACAGACAGAAACTGCAGAGAATGTTGAGGTAAACTGTGTATGCCCTTGACTAACAGTACTTACATGGTACTACAATTGTCTTGCCATCCTGTCAAACATCAGCCTCTTCTGAAAAACATTTTGTTCATGGTTGTTATTTCTAATAGCCTTGACAACTTTGCTTGTAGTGTAAAAATTCCAATTAAAATACCTGAAGGCTCTGGTACTAACAACACTTTTTAACCTTAAATTACTTGTCATGCAAGGAAATTACAAATATTAAGTTAGAACACCAATGTCATCTACTGTTATTGAATTATTGTCTCAAAATACAGTGGAAAGTCACTGTGGAAAGCACAAGTTATTTTACAATTCTCCTGTGTTTAGAGCTCACATGTTTGTTATTTATGGCAGTATACTACATGGCTTTAATTTGGTCCTTTACATGATTTCTGATAAGGATTATCTTTGCTTGTGTTTGCTTCTGGAAAAACATTGTAAGCTTTGATTTGTAGTCAATCAAAGCCTTCTAATACATGACAGTTATTAAAAGGACTGTAGCATACATGTACATTCAGTAGTATATTGTTACTAAAATTGTTAATCTTTGCTTGTTGTTTTTGGTTTTTTAACAGCTTAGCCAAAGCAGAGGCTCTTCAAAAACAGGGCCCAGCAACTGCAACAATGGCAAGAGACATTTATGAGAAGGTTAGGCTTGTATTCAGTTGATACTTCAGAAGTGCTGTGTCTACCTTTTTTTCTGTATTCACTTACATTTCCTCTAATTTCAGTTGTTGTCAGATGTCACAGCTGAAGAGGAGGTGGATACTCTAACTGGACTTGGTCAAACATTGCTTACTCTTGGCGATATTACACAGGCAACACAGGTGAGTATTCTTTGTTCATGGAGTTTCTATCAGAACTGAGATCAAGGGTGAAAACCTAATTTTGCCTTGCTATCTAAGTGAGTGACTGTGAGATAGTCAGAAGTGTATGCGACACTGGATCGAACAGCCCAGGTTCATTACAGACCTAGACAGGGTCATTGTGTCGCATTCTAGGGCAAGACAGGTTACTCTCACATACCCCTCCCCCCTCCCACCCACCCGCCAGGTGTTCAAATTGGTATTTTATTGCAGGGGGTGTCCCATTGCTGAACTTTCATCCTATACAGAGGGGAGTAGAAAAATCCCTAGTTGCTTCATACTTCAAGAAAATGAAGATAAGCACCATCCTGTTGGGTTACTAGGCTCAAACACAGACTCTTCCTTGTAGGACTGTGTGGAGTGCGATTTGTGGTAAAATAAATTGGGAAATTTCAAATCAGTTGTATATGAGTTGCAGGCTGAGACTACCTGTATGGTTAGAAAGTCTAAACTTTCATTGTGGACACTGTCATAATACAGACACTCAAACACATTCTGGTGTCCATATGAATCAGGTTTGATTGTATTACAAAAACTGATGCTAATATTTATTTTATTAACAATTTGTTATAAATTTGGAATGAGTGTTGTTTTTCCTTTTTCTAGATTTGTGCCAAAGCTTTGAGCATTGATAAGAGTTATCCCTCAGCTCTGGCTTTGCAGGTATAATGCGGATTGAAGTAGTTTCATCTTCTGGGAAACTTTTAGTCTCTAAGTTTATGTCTGTAATATGCATTCTACAGGTAACTTCTTTGTAGACTTGTAGGCTCATGTATACATACATGTAATTCTGTCTCTTGCTTTTTCATTTGCATCATTAACTGAACTAAAGCTTTATTTTCTTTTTTATTTCTCAGGGTCAAATCAGCTTTCGGGAAGGGTATTTTGATGATGCAGAATTGAGGTATATTAAATCAATACTATAACACTCATTGAGCTACAATACTTTGAGATTGATGCAACGTACCTTTGTGCCAATTGTTTTGGAATGACATATCAGGAATTTAATAGTTACTTTTCAAAAAAGGAAAAAAAAATCATTTGACTTTGTGTCACTTTGATTGTAGGTTTTTGGAAGCAATAGAGAGGAATAAGGACTGTGCCTTTTATTATTTTCTTCTTGGCAAGTTGTACTGGGAAATGAATGGAAATCTTAGAGCTGACAAGAAAAAGTGCCTTGCTCAGTTTTTAAAGGTAGAAGTCACAAATAAAACAACATAACTTGAATTCTGATAAACTTGCGAGCAGCGCAGAACATAGATACAAGACCCCTTGATCTCAGTCTCACTTCGGAAAACTTGACTTTGCTGATTACCATCAGAACTACTTTAGCAAGTCAGAATAAATGGTAGATGATTGCCAGTATAGGAGGCACACATATTTAAGCTAACAAGGTAATATTATATTTTATTAAAAACTGGATCATTGGATAATGCAATTAGAGAGTTTTCATTGGCTTAGCCATCATGGGTTATGAACCATTACACCATGCTCCACAAATATGCTAAGCATACGTGTGAGCTTTTGGGGGTGTTTTTATTTTAATTTTAGATCAGTTTTCTATATTTTGGGGGCGTTTTTAATACACCAATTATTCCACTCGTGCTTGTTCCACATATGAGATGATTATAGCCAATGAGGTGCATAGCACCTTGTTGGCCATCTACCATCTCATATCCAATGCGTTCTTGCAGAATAATTGTTAAATATAATAATTTAAATATTTTAATAATTGTTGTCAATGGACTGTGACATGCTTGTCTTCTTTCCAAAAATGTCCCAGCCAAAAAGCTGCTCAATATNAAATGTATGAGCCAAAGTTTTTGTTATTCTTTATGCTAATTGCTGTGTTAATTGTTATTATAATTTCAACCCGTGTGGTATTTTTTGAGAAAATGACGTCATTTTCTCAAATTCTCAACCAAGACTTGGAACAAGGAAAATTAATGGTGGCCATAAATTCTTGGAAATAAAGGTCCAAAGGACATGAGTTCTAATGTTTGTAATAGATTGAAATTTGGCAAAAAATTTAGGAAAGACCTATTGTGTGCGAAAATTTAAAAAAATGGGTATGGAGAATTTGATCATAGTGGCACTTTAAGCAATGGACCACAAGTTTTTATGGTTTATATGCTGATAAACCACGCGGCATGTTGGAAGAACACAAGAAGAATTCGTAAATCACGAGCCGCAGGTGAGTGATTTACGAATTCTTCAAGTGTTCTTCCAACATCCCTAGTGGTTTATCAGCCTATAAACCATAGAAACTTGTGGTCTATTGCTTTTATAATAATTCAGAAGACACACGGAATTTCCATGAGTTTACTGGCACAATAAACCATAGCTGACTAAGCTATCAGAGCATGCGCATTCATTTAATTATTATGTAAAATGGGTTATTGGCCAACTTCTTTTTTTTTCTGGTGTGTTTGTGGGTTGAGACTCAGTCAAGGTCTGCATTCTTGCAAAAAACTAGGCCAATAACCAGCCATATTGACTGAACAAGTTTGGACAATAAAGAATTTATTAGATGGCTTAAAGAACACCATTTTCTTGTGCAAAACAATGGGTAATCCCAAGCTAGCTACCCATCTTGGCTGGTTGGGGAGTCATTGGACTTGGTTCATCTTACTCATTTGTGGAGCTAGCCGAATAATAAATTATATTATAAACAGAGAAAAATAAATATTGGTAATACATAAATATGGCTGACAATAATCACTCGTATTGATTATAACTTATTTCTGAATCCACAGCTTGATCCATCATCACTTTACTGCCTATATCAGTAAGTAGGCTTGGTTATCCAATTCCAGTGCTGAAATTTTTTTTCCGTGTTTTTTTTTGAGTGAGGGTATTTTTTTCTGGGAATCTAAATAAATCTGTAGGAATTAGGAGGCTCACTTTTACCCAGGAAGTGACAAGTATTTTCTTCGTTTGTGTCAGCTGACCATGTATCACCTGAAAGAAGTTCTTGTATCTACTGCTTCACTAGTAATTTTGTTTTAACCATTCTACCCTCAGGTTGGCAGCCATTAAACAACTGTTATGTGTTCACAGTGAAGCAATCAAGGAATATAAACTAATTCTGGACATGCAACTAGACTATGTTCCCGCACTTAAAGGTAATTACAAATCTGAGCTAAGTAATTTTTCTTACAAGCATTTTTGAAGTGCAGTTTTTCCTTGAGAAGTGAAGTTTTAAAAGTGCCAGTTGAACACAGTTCTGACATCAACATGTCCATTGGCATCAACATCTATATTTACACCCGCATAACTTGCAAAATCCTAGTTGTGACAGTTTACAAGTATTATAAAAATAAATAAATATCCCTTTATCATGTAGGTCTAGGAGAGACATATCTTAATCAAGCACGGTCAGCATTGCAGCAAGATTTCAATGGCAAAGCAGTTGACTGTGTGATGGAAGCTATCAATGTTTTGGCAAGGTTGGTGCTTACAGTTGTGCTAGTTGTGATTAACAACTGGTTTAGTTTTTTACTTCTGCACAGTCGTCATGACACCTTTCCTGAACAGGCCGATCTTTTCTGACAGACTGGTTCATTCTGACTCAGTGGAAGCCATCCAGCCATGCCATGATATGTAGCAGTTCAACTGTGATGATTATAATGTCAGCAATTCATGTATTGTTCACAGTAATCAGTGGCAAGAACGAAGTATTTTGTTTTGATATGCAGCTAGTGTTCTCTCACCTGTTCTTACAGCCTTTCTCATTGGTTGTTTCTTAGTCACACTGCACTAACTTAATTTTTTCTATCACCTAGTAATAGGAAAATAGCGCATCGTTGGGGAAAAAAAATAAACTGTTTCTATTGGGATGAAAGAGTGGTTAGTGTGAGTAAGTGAAGTATTTTTTAAATTTCATTTTCTTGGTATTCTTGTTTTGAACAGAGCTGTCCAGTGTAGACCTGGCTTCTCTTGTCTTTGGAAACTAATTGGTGATTGCTGTACAGTTATTCACCCAGTATCTGATAGCTCCATTAGGTGAGATAACATCAGAGGGTAACGTTCTGGGTGCACATCTCTGGGCAAGTATTCTTTGGTTCCTTTGATGCACGATGACCCAAGTGGTCGTGGATCTTTGATTCTGATCCTGATCATCCCAAAGGAACGCACCCTAGGACGATGATTATTACTTAAAGAAATAGCAAACATTTTCTATATCTCTACCGAGTTATGGAAACACAATTAGCTACAGTTGAAGGTTTAGAAGAATGAGAAATACTTTGGAACATGAGCCAACCACAGGCAAAGGTTTCCGTAGCTTATTTTCGAGTTCTACAAACGTTTGACTAGCGTTTCTAATAACTTGAGGGCATCACCAGAAATATTTTCTATTTCTTTTACAAAGACTTGAGAAAGTGAAAGTGAAAAATCACTTAGCTTCACTTTTTTATTTCGATTATCAAAATGTAAATTATCTTTGCTCACACCATCATTACGATATTGGGCTACAGCTTGTGTTATGTGCTTTATTACAGAATTTTACAGGTTGTCACTTTGGCTGTAGACTGCGAGCAGTCTCTCTTTTCCTCGAAAATCCGTGGGGAAGAACGCAAACAAGTAAGCGTGCGAGCGTGACTGTGAGCGTGACGTGCGAGCGGCGATGCCACGAGCCGCTCGCTGCGAGCCGTCAAGCTCACAGTCACGTTCGCACGCTTACTTGTCTTGCGTTCTCCCCCACGGATTTTCGAGCAAAAGAGAAACTGCTCGCAGTCAACTTTGGCTGAAGATAGTGGCAGATTGTGGTTACGTCTGGTCAAGTCACTATAAATGATTGATGCGGGCACTTGTATGCAACGTCGTCCGAAGTATTAATATGGTGTTTGTTCTACAGAGGGACAATTCCAGACAATCTCAAGAAGTACATTCATGGAGACCACAGTGATCTGGACAAGAAACAGCTTCTCGCTTTGGGATCCAGGTTAGTATTGATATTGACTTCTGCTTTGAAAGTCTTGGTCATGCTGTGTTGTTAGTTATTGTTTGAACAGTAATTAATTTGATGCTATTGTTCCTTGCACTGTAGTGCTTATGGAAGAGCGCTGAAGCTACAGCCAGAATGTGGAAGTCTGTGGGGGGATTTAGGGTTCAACTGTTTTCAGCAGTCTAAGGTAGGTCAAATACCAATACCGTTAATCATAAAATAATCAGAAAACAAAGACAAATTCAGAGGTTTCCCAGTGCACCGAGGGTTGAAATGCCTACCCACAAAAATAAGAGAGGTTTTATAACTATATGTAAGGACCACTAATTCTGTACATTTATGCATTCTGTACTGGAGTTTCCAACTTTTTTCTTCTTTTCTTATAGATTTTGGAAGGCGATGAGAAAGAAAAGATGGCTCATAGATCTGTACAGGTGTGGAATGAAATTTGCCTTTGAAAGTTGGTCCCTGTTTTTCGGGATTCTTCCGAGGTCAAAGTGCTACTATGATCAAAAAATTCACTTCCCTTTTTCCTTCAGATTTTAAAAGAGTGTTTGTTTGACACCTGACTGGCAAAATCTTGAGCTTCGAATTTTATCCAAAGGCTTTTTTCTTTGAGTGCAAGTTTAGGATTTCACGGTCCGCCATTTCACATTCAAGACTGATCGATTGGATTTCAGAGGGTTGGATCGAGGATAAGATGACGTTAAAGACTCACTAGCTTAAAATTACAGCTTGTAAACGCAGCTTATTGTACATGCAAAACACGAGTTTAAAAGTCTGAAAGTTCGAAACTTTCGAGCTGCATATTAATTTAGGCGCGTGCACACGCATTGCATTTTCAAACAAGTGAATCTTTGACGTCATCTTATCCTCGATCCAGCCCTCTTAAGATTTTAAAGTTAGTAATGGCGGACCATTAATTGGGAAAATTTCAGTCAAAATAAACAGGTGTCTTTTTGAAATGAAGGCTTAAAACTTCGGTCACCTAGTGGTTCAGTTATATAGTTTTGAAATACAAAGAAAAAGTAGAATTACGTTTTGGTCACAGTAGCACTTTAAGATTGATTTTAAAATTGATGTTACGGAAAGTTTACTGGCCCTCCCGGGGGGGGGGGGG